ATCGTTCACAAAAGTTTCACCTACAACTTACCTGATTGGCTAATAGCTGACCAATCAAATTTCGAATATGTTTCGATGTCCCCCGGTGTCCTCTCTCGAATGGCGAAAACCGCAGGTCTCTACAATGTTCCTATGAAAAGTTATTCAAAAAACAGTGGAGGACATTATATTTTGAAACGGATAATAGTAATCAATTTGTAATCATGAGTAATCACCAGTAATCAAAATTAATCTCCAGTAATCACTAGTAATTATTAGAAACATGCATCATTTATTGCGGATCATTGAGCATGGAAATAAAATTAAAAGCTGTTAGCGCAATCTCTGCGGAATAAAAATGTGAAATACGATGTAGCTGTTGTTGCTACTTAGGGCATACCAACAGTAATGACGCCGACACTATACTAGTTCACATAAGGATGAAGGATGTTTTCTTTCTATACAATCTGATAGAGAAAAGATTGCTCCATTTTTCTATGTTATTTGATCATACTTCAACTAATATCATAATAATAAAATCTCGATAAGAACTGTTTTTGTGTTCAAGTTCACTAATATGTAAGGCAAATTAAATGGCCACGATTTGCATTTCGGTTTTCAACCTCTTAATACGTTATATTAAAAAAATAAAATCTACCAAAAGGTGCAGCGTGAAAAGCTCTACAATTCGCATAAGATCGCTTATTTTATAATTGCACTTTTTGTTTTCAAAATGAACAAAATGTTGAGCGACTAATTTTCGACCATATGAAAACGCTACTTTTTTTTGGTATAAGATGAATTCATTTTTTCTTATTTCATCTTTTTATCGCCTGATATCTTTTCTTTAAGGAAAAAAAAGGCATCACAAGATGCAGTGTCAAAAACTCTACAATGTACAAAGTAAATCTTAGAGCTTGTCCGGCTAACGGCCAACCAGAGTGATTAAAGTAGAAGCTGAATATTTTCAGAAGCTAATAACATCATGTTATAGAGCACATCTTGCTGTATTAAGAAACGTACCTCATTTTAGCTTTTCTTCGCACAGCTGAAAAAAACTATGTACAAAACAGTCTTAGTGTGTTTTTCGAAAATTCTTGCAGTTTTCGTACATACAAAGTACTCAGGCGAATCGTCATGGTTTTTCGGAAAATTGGTAGTTTACTCCTATGGCGGTTGTGGATTGTTTTGGGTTTTTTGGCGTTCGGTTGGGAGTTTCGGGGAATCTGAGGACACCATTCGATAGAGCTCGTTGAGTTCTAGGTGGCTTACTAGTTTTCTTTTGTGGCTTAGTCGCTCAGGCGAATTGTCATGGAAAATACTCGAATCGGCTGCTAACTTTCCTTACATTAATAAGAAGTTCCAAAGAATTGAAGGATTTATCAGTTGTTATAAATGCAAGAACACTCAAATTTACAACAAGTTAAGTGGTACCAAACGTTACAAAGAGCATGCTGATAAATGCTTTCCCATATTGAATATTACAACAACAATATCACCATCACCAACAACGCCATCAACATCAACAACGACATCATCACCATCATCAACAACTTCATCATCATCAATCAGTTTTACTTCATCGTCATCTACATCAGCACAAGTAACTTTAAATCAAATGGGATTTACCAAATCTATAAAATTTAATGAAAAAGACATCAGAAGAATGAAAGATTTATCAGTGGAATGGGTGTGCGGTGATATTAGGCCCTTCAGCATATTCGATGATGTTGGTTTTAGACGTTTAGCACCAGAATGTGTTCGATTGGGTAAGAAAACAAAGATATATAATTGATGATCTGATTTATTTCTCTATTAGGTTCTATATACGGTGCATTCGATTTAATGAAATTTTACATGGTGAAAAAAACCATATCACGACATATTATTTCATTTGCTGATAATTCACGTGAACAAATTAAAGAACTTTTATCAATTCCTCTACAAGAACATTCATTAACAATCTGTCCGGATTATTGGACAGACTTACATAAAAAAATGTCTTATTTAGGTGTGAATGTAATAATCGTCGACAATGATTATTGTTATAAATCGATCAATCTGTGTTGTAAACCGTTTGAATACGAAAAAAAACGACTGAAAATACTTTAAATGTAAGTTTATTAGTATTATCCTATGCTATACCACTTATACGCAGACACAGTATTGCTTGATTTTTTTTCATGATATTTAGTATAGTTACATACAGTCAAAAGGTATATTTTTATGAGATGCAATTAATTTAAAGAGACTTTTTATTGTCTTTATATATATTATATATATATGTCGGAAAAATATAAAAAGTATTTGGCGACTTATTTGTGAAGTGAAGCCTCTTAACATAAATCCATTATGGTCTTTAATCAATAAATATTTTTAGAAATATTTTCTCTTAGAATTTTTTCAGTCTATAAAAGGCTGATTTAGCATTTTATAACTTTAATATTCAAATATATTTTTCTTCTCTTTAGGCACTTCATAAGTACTTGAGTTTTTTCGGAATTAATTCATTGGCTGATATTAATATAGTATGTGATCGTGGTAGTAATTTTGTGTGTGCTTTTAAAGATTTCGAGCCGGTTTTCTGTTACGGTCATCGACTGAACAATATTGCCAAACTGAACTTTTTTCAGAACAAAAGGAAAAAGGAAAAAGTTGGTGCCGTTGTAATTGATGCTACAAATATACTTGATACAAATCCACCTTCAACAATAAAAGCTGAAGATAATGATAATGAAATTCATGAATCGTCAAGCGATGACAGTGAATTATCAACTGATGATGATTTCGCAAATGACACAGCTTTACCAGTTATTAGAAAAAAGAAAAAATTTGTTAAAGTGACTGTATCATCAAAAAATGATTTATTATTTTCTCAGAAGAAAATTACGGTTAAGCAAATCCCAATCTCAGCTAAACATGTTCTTCAAGTTTTAAATAAGTGTAAGAAGATAGTGAAATACGTGAAAAAGGTAAGCACAGTTCTCAGAACATTTGCATTTCCAATTATTTTATATCATCATCTTATCTTCATTTTGTATTTAGACAGGAATTAACAATGATATCAAACAAGAATGTGGTGCTACATTGGATCAATCGTGTATCGTTCGGTGGTTATCAATGTTGAACTTGTTGGAGAGTATGTTAAAATCATTCAAGGCAACAAAACGATTATTATTAGCTCGAAATAAACATTCATTAATTAATGATTTAGATTTAGCAACATTAAAACAACTGGTT